AGACTAAACACTTTGAGAAGTCAATTGATTTTTGTTGATGAAATCTCAATGGTGGGAAATGGTATGTTTGCAATACAGCTAAACAATAGGCTTAAAGATATAAAAGGCTGTAGAGAGGATTTTGGAGGAGTGAGCATAATTGCTATTGGTGACTTATTCCAATTAGAATCTGTTATGGATGCTTATATTTTCAAAGACCTCAAAAATGTAGATTTATGCTGTTCTTTCTCCCAGTTTATGGCATAAACACTTTAAAATGTTTGAACTTAATGAAATCATGGGTCAAAGAGACAGCAAATTGTTTGTAGAATTACTTAATAGGTTGCATAAAGGTAAACACACAGTAGCTGACATTGCAAAACTTAAAGAGAGCTATACAAGAAGACATCAACAACCCAGTAGATGCAGCTCACCTATTTATACAGAATGCTAAAGTAGATGAATTTAAACAAAGGGCCCATAATGCAGCCACAGAAAACAAATTCACAATAAATGCTCAAGATAGTGTTATTGGAGCTATCTCTCCAGAGCTAAGAAACAAAATACTAAGACAAATACCCAATGATCCAAGAAAAACAAAACAGTTAGCCTCAACCCTTTGTCTTGCTGAGGGTGAAAGAACACACCTTGTCATGAATGTATGAACCGAAGATGGCATGACAAATGGTGCTGGAAATGTTGTTAAACTAGTTCAGTTACATCAACAAACCAAACCATCTGGTATTGTATGGGTACAATTTGACCACTCAGATGTAGGTCAGAAAACAAGGAATGAAAAAAGACATTTGTATGTACAATGAATTGAACACACATGGACCCCAGTAAACCCTGTGACTACACAGTTTGCGGTAGGTAGAAACATAACAGCACAAGTTGTTAGAAAACAATTTCCACTGCGTCCCGCAGCAGCAAAAACAATTCACAGGTCACAAGGTGATACTGACAGTAGAATTGTTGTGGATTTTAGTACCAGAAATACTATTCCACACATACATTATATGGGACTCAGTAGAGTGACTGCTATAGAAGGCCTATATATTTCTGATTTGTGTGAAAGCAAGATTGCTGTTAATCCAGATGGAGAGATTAAGAACAACAACTGTAAAACTTAAGCTTTGCATCTCCTTCTCCATGACATAACATTTTCCCTTCTTAAACTGTGTTATCTTAATGTAAGGTCTCTTCACAAACACATAGAAGATATACGTAAAGACTTAATTTATCTAAGTGCTGATGTCAATATTTTCACAGAAACAAGATTTAATTCTCAAGATAATAATGACATGTATGACGTTGCTGGTTATGTTCTCTTCCGTAATGATAACCTTAATTCCAGCAATGGATCAAGGTCTTATGGTGGTACAGCTGTGTACAGTAAAATCCCATACTTACCTGGATACCCCTATTGTCACAATATACATGGTGTTGAAATAACAGTAATTAAGTTAGCAAGGTTTGAGGATTGGACAATCATAGGGATATTTCACTCCCCAAACGTGCCTGTAAGACAACTTTATGAAGCAATAACTGAGGTATTAAATAACATTTCACCAGACAACAATATCATTACTAGAGACTTTGATATAAATTGGCTTGTTGAAACAGACAGAAGACCTTTGTATAATTTACTAGTGAGGGATAACCACTACAAACAGTTCATATCAACTTATACAACTGACAACAACACAGTAATTGATCATATATATACAAATATATCTAACATTGATATACAAGCAGATGTTTTAGAAACACATTTCACAGATCATAAAGCTGTTTGGGCCTCATTTCACGGTGTCCTATAACAAATTGCTTTATCATGATGTACATTGTTTTTAAGTTAAGAGAGCAACAAAAGAAAGCAGTAAATAGTTATGAAAAGAGTTGTTTGTCTTTTTTCAGAGGAATTTGTAATGAGAAACTTGCAAAACTATTAATAAGGAAATGCTGCTTATTCATTTGGTACCAGAACAGGCCTTTTAAAATTAAGTTTGAAGTCATCTTTCTAAGAGTTGTCCAGTTTAACAACCATTTACAAAAGACAAAAATAAACTACATAACACACAGTCCTGAAATTTCAAGGCAGCTCCTTTAGCATCTTGGCTAATTTCTAACTGCAACCTTTATTGACAACCCTGCATTAAACAATTATTCCACAGTTAAGTCTGCAACCCCTCCTGAAATACTCCAGGATACCAAAAAAAACAACAACAAGCAAACAAACATATTAGTGAAGTGAGCAAACAACCACATGCGTGACTTTCACGTAATATAAAATTCGTGATTGCAGCATTCCCACGTGCGTAAAGTGCTTGTAACTTACGGGAAACACACGCATGTTACACCGAAAAAACCCGCGTGTAGTACAAGAGGCCGATTACTCGCAACATAGTTAGTAGAGGAGACAAAACAGAGTGTCATTTTAGACAATTAACTTCAGTAAATTCTTTGCAAAAAGTGGATATTGCTGGCATAGTGCATAACACAATAACTGACAGTGCGATATTGTCAAGCTATCAATGTATGGTTTCAGATGCAGAGCTAATACCCAATGTTGAAGTAAGCAACAATGTCTTCCATGCTATTGTATGTTTATATATAAGGGTGCAGTCATTTTCTTGTGCTAAAGACATCATTCAGCGCTACAAAATTAATGCAAAGCAGTCAAAGGGTAAAGCGCTCCGAAAGGAGATCATGAGGAGTCATGAACAAGAAACAGTTAGGCAAGATTGAAATAAAACATTTTATTATCCTAAGTAAAACATGGCATTGTAAAAAATTTGTTAATTATTTTATTGATACTTACATGTATCAATTATCAAGAACATTTCAATTAAGAACTGTTCACATACAATGTAAAGCCGAATTTACCATGCCACGAAAAGTCCTGTGCATGACATGTTTAGAGTCCTGGGCCAGGTTGTTAAAAGCTGAGTTAAGATAACCCAGAATTAGTGCAATAGAGAAATTATCCTGGGAAATGCCTTCTGAAGGACAATTATTTTATGTACTATAATAAAGACAAGACACCTGGTTGTTCATGTTGGATTAAAAGTAAAAAAAAGAAATGTTTTTGTTAGTCATCATGAATTTGAGAGACCTTTTCCTGGGAACCTTGTAGCAAAAAAAAGTGATACAAAAATACTGTAAACTTAAAATTAATAATATTCGGGGCAGTCACTGAGGGCTGTGGGCTGGGGATTCCCCCTTCCTTCTCCCTGTGCCCAACTACTATAACTAGCATAGAACTGAAATATCTTACTAATTGTTCAATTCCCTGCCTTATACATTATTTGTTAAAATTTTTCATTGCCCAGCAACCGGTGGTGACTTCTCTGAATATTGCATTCAACATTTAATTTGTTAATGTTGGATTACAAGTAAAAAAAAAATTGTTAGTCATCACGAATTTCAGTTGCCTTATTAAGTTAGATACAGTAATATTTCGAACTGTTCTACGATAGTCCAGGTACAAAGGATGATCTTCAGGTAAATAGGAACCAAATACTTTCACAGTAAAGCCAAGACTGTCATCCATAATAATTTCCAAACGTGGCAGAACGTACGGATGCACGGTTTTCTTCAGCACAATTTTGTCCTCAAAGATCTTCAGGCTCCAATCACCAAGGCTTTTTAGGCTTTTAACTCGTTGGCAGAGCTCTGAAAATCCCTTGTAGCAGCTGTGTGGTAAAGGCCCCTCGTTAAATTTTACAACCGAACGTTCAGGACGTCGTGAAGGCTTGCTGCTTTCATGACTTTTCTTAGGCATGTTCAGCTTCGGCAAAGCTCCAAATTTGGGCTTATTTTTGGTCATTTTCGCAGATTGATCTATCAAAGAAAAGATAAAATTGTCAAACTTGGAAATAGTCAAACCTAAAACCATATCCACTTTCAGAACGAACTTCAAACGGCAGCAACACTGATCGGTGAAAACTAACTCAAAGCAAATCCGACAATTAAACAAGAAAATACAGATATGTACTTACATATTTCGATATCTTCGGGCGCAAAATGTTTCTCACAGGTATATATTCTATCGCTCTTCAACTGTTCCCTGAAGTTCTGGTCAATTTCTCTTGTCTTTTTTATCTCACCAAGCCATTCGTCTCACCATGTTCCATGAGCTTCGTCTTTTGCCACAGGCAACTTCCAAATACCAATTCCCTTCGTTCTTCTGCACGAACCATAGCCAAATACTGAGCAATTAGCCCCTGGCATAACTTCTATATTTCTTGCAAAATGACAACCATATACTGATGAAAATTACGGAGAAACCTAACACATATCGCACAACTAACAAGAAACTACTCAACGGACGCCATGATCGTTTGATAAATGTGCACTGTCGCGATCACGTGACAAGGCAAAAATCAAAACAAAGACATCGCTCTCTGAAGCTCGCCGACTTTCATAACCAGTCTCCTCTACTAACTATGCTCAGGTGCGGGTAGGATGCAGTTGATCTCTATTTCGAAAGACTTGTTTGACGTTTGTGAGCGGACGATTCTAGCCAAGGTAAAGTCATTCGTTTACCATATGCATACTTTTCACTTGATTCATGTTATTAGTCGAGAAGGACTTGTCTTAACCCTAGTAGCTTAGCGCTTCGGTCAGCACTTCCTGTTTGTTTAAGAGATGCTCGTATTTTACGAATTGGAGCTCATAATTAATCTTGATATCACTATCGGTAGTTTTGTTATGTTAATTGATTCATTTATTTGTTATTATTTCGACGAATTTGGCTGGATTCGCTCGGCTACGAGGTATGAAATATGCGTTTTAAGAAACAAATGGTTGAAATTCGTGGACATGGGTTGATGTCAGATTTTAGAGTCTGTTTTGAAAGATCTTGACATTATTGACAGACGCTTTCACAAAGTGATAATGAACAGTAGTCTGTCAGTAGTCTACGTCCAAGCGTGTGAAATTCGTCTGCGCAGTTAACGTGCAGTCGCGAGCGGTACTGTAGTGCTTCGGTCAGCACCTTCTGCATGTTTGTTGAAGACATCTCTGTATTTGCCAACCAATTGCTTATTTGTAATAGTGGCCTAATTCATTTGGGCCCCCAAATTGGAAAGGTGTTTTCAAATAGTACAAAGTCAATTTTCTAGTTTACTCCTGGCTTGTTGAGAATTTAATTTGATACATTCCTTCATTTTGAGCCTAAGGAACAACTGATACATGTCCCTCTACTCCAGAAATACTGAAAACTGCTGCTTATAAGCCGCCCCTCTTAAAAGCCCCAGTCCAAGTTGTCAAGTCTTTCACATGGAGCGTGAGACCTCATGCAAACAATTTTAATATTATGTTCTCAAGCTGAAACTATTGTTTCTTATAGCAAACTGCTGCTTTTGTAAACCCTTTAGCTCCCAAGATCTGAGTTTCAATTCTTCCTTCCAGCTGCTACACATTTCTTTGCTAATAAGTTACAAGAATTTGTTGTTAGATCGAGATAACAACTTCGACCTGATAAGTATGACTATTCTCATGACCTGTTTTATATTATAGGGAGGAGCTACTCATTTATCACTTTTGGGAGTTTTATTTATTATCCTTTTAAGTATAATTTACTCCTTGTTCCCTTCAAACTTGCTTAAAAGTCTTTCCAGCAGTGGAAATGTTTGCTTACACTAATGTTGCCATAGCGATTTCATATTTGTTTTCACAATTTTGGGGGGGGGGGGAGTATGCCCCCATTCTCCCTAAGGATGATGATGCCTGTTGCATCCCATTTGAAGGCTAATATGCAGGAGATAATCTCAGTCTTGAAGGTAGCAAAGGGAGGTTGTGTAGTGTGAGTGTTGTGGAATTGTGTGGGTTCCCCCTACTCCATTTGACTTTTAACCCTTAACACCCTAAGACATTGGTATTCATATTCTCCACACTGTTCTCTTTACATTTCCTATGGAACAGACAAGGAGAATTTGTCAAAGAAGTATATTTGATTGTGAAGTAAATGGAAGAGTCAGTTTAGAACATTACAGCTACAAATGCAACAATTATTTAATTAGTGTTTTAATTGATGAAAATCTTTCTTGGAAAAACCATGTTGACTGTGTTATCACCAAAATGAGTAGGAAGTACATACAAATGATTGCTAAGTTGATATGTGTTATTACATCTTCTGTTGTCATAAATATCTGTAAATCCTTATTTTTACCTAATTTAACTATATTAGACTCGCTGCTTGGAGCAATACATCTAAAACATATATTAAGTAAACAAATTTGTTGTTCTCCAAAAGTGCATATAATTTTTTTAATTTGCTCTGCTGATAGAAAAGAACATGCTATCCCCTTATTTATAAATGCAAAAATTCTACCTATTACCATCTAATATTATGAAGCTGTATATAAATTAATGCTGAATATTGATAACAACAGAGCTTATTAGTGCACTTTCTAACATCATAAAATTGTTTATGGGAACATTAAACAATTATACCCATTTACTACCACTGCTCATCAATGTCACAAGTGCTTCAGGTTTCAAAATCTGGAATGAGATGCTAAATATCAATAGAAAGTTTTGTTGAAGAAATCCTTCAAAAAAGAAACAAGAAAGGTTTCTCAATATTCTAGAGACTGAAGATTCTTATTTCAAGCCTGATGAGATAATGTGTTATATAAATTCAAACACTGCAAAATTGAAACAAATTGTACTTGCAGTTGAAACAATATTTTTATTGTGCACTTAGATACTCAAGGACTTTTTATCTTTTACAATGAATGTCTTTCATTTTCCATTTTCTTTTCTTGTGTACCTTTTAATGTTTTTTTTAAATGTATTATTGTCATATTAATTTTACTGTCAACAAAATCTGCTCAAAATTTTCAAAATTTTATTTTTTAGAGAAATTAGTTTTAACTACTTAAATGGTTTATTTACAAAAAAAATCTTAAAAAGAAGGTGAGATACAGCTGAAAGGATGTTTTAGTATAAGCCCGTATGAAGAGTGAAAGGTGTCATCATGGGAAATGCCTCAGACAGAGTGTGGACGTTTTCTGCAGGCTTTCATCCAGGATCCCAATTTGCATATGTTGTTTTCATCACATCTTGCACTGCACATTCACTGGGAATCTCTGGCCCATTTTGCAAAACATTGAGTAATGAGAGCCTTAAAGAGTTCACTAATAAGAGGGAGAGAGCTCAAGCCAAAGAAATTGAAGTTAAGTTGTTCATTTTCCAGAGCTTGCTTGTTAACTTTTGGATTATGTTTAACTCATGTTCCTGTTTCATGAAATGACCTTTCCAGCAAATTTCATTGGAGTTCTTTGTCAGTTAAGGCTTGCCACAGATTCCACATTGTGTCTCATTGTTCATTCATTTGACACTTGCTTTCTAAAAGGAGATGGGAAACTGTAAATTTCTTTGGTGGCCAAAAACTAGAAGTTTGTTATTATTTTGTTATTAAGTTACCTGTACATTAATAGGATATGTAGATTTGTTGGACCTTTGTGAAAATTGGCTTGTATGTCCATTGGTATTATCACACAAAAATATGTGAGGCTTCAAAGAAATTAAAAATATTTCTCTCATAATGCATCAGAGTTTGAAAACAACAGAAATATTTTCTATTGTCCAACTTCACAATGTATTTTCTCAGGAAACAATAAGAATCTCAAAATTGCCTGACACACTTTGTTAGCCTATTATCTGCTGAGTGATACTGTACAGTTTGTTTCAAGGTCTGGGGTAACACAGAGGCTGGTAATTCAGTGAAGCAAACACTATCAATGTTGCATTTAAATGCTTACATGCACATACCAAAACAAAAACTGTGAAAAATGTTATTTCCATAATCTGTACTTTATAAGCTTTACTGTGATGTATTTTTTTCTGTTGTAATCTGGTCACATCTTTATCGTCAAATAAACAGATATCAAATATTGTGCATGTAAGTTTTCCCTGTACCTTTTCACTTCATCTTTGATTAAACTAGCCATGATCTACTGAAGATCTCTGTTAATAACAGTTTCCTTAATTAGTAGTAGCACAAGTAGGAAGATTTTTCCAGAAGGCAGCCTATTTTGTTGACAGCAATCTTAAGTAAAAATTTGACCAGCCAGGATTTGCATCTGCTATCTGCAAGTTGAAGGAATATTTTGTATATTGAATATGAGAAAATAGATAAAGTGTGAGGTGAGAATCAGGAACATTTTAAATTTTTGATGATCTCCTTTATTCTTGTGACTCATACATTTGATTCAAGGTTGATACTGTAAGGAGAAATTAGAAGCCAATCACAGCTCTTAGAGGTTAAAGGGTTAAAATGGAAGATGCAGCAAACTTATTTTATTGATCTGTTGCATGATATTTAACTCATTGTTTGAGTGCTGTAATATTCTGGTGTTGCAAAGTTAGAATAAAGTAATAATTTTTGTGTGTGCTCTATAAATGTCGCCTTCCAAGTATTAATTACAAGCATTTCTTTACAGAGGACTTGATTTCATGGCTTCTGCCACCCCATCACAACCTTCTACCAAGGAGACCTCTAATTATGCCCAGCTCTGTCGCCTTCTTGTTGAAGTTGGATCACTTATGCTAAGGGAGATCTTTGACCGGGTATGTCCACCAGAAAACCTTCATGCAGTTCTGACTAATCCCACAAACCATGCCAAACTACAAACATTGCGAAAGAAGAGAGTCCTGAGTACCTTCCAGTGGGGGAAACTGTATCCTGTCTCCAAAACATCAGTTTCCTCAGGGAACTTTGACACCTCCTTACTGCTATTTCTTCTGAGGAATATCTTTGGTCTGAATTTCCCTGCCTCTGGCCAGAATAACCTTCCTCCAGGATCAGACACCTCTCCAGAAGCTGACATCACTCGCATCAAGTTTTTCAGGGACAGAGTTTTCAGTCATGCTGCTAATGCTTCAGTTGATGATCCAACCTTTAGTTTGTACTGGAACAATATCAAAGACACTTTTCTGCGTATTGGAGGGACCTGCTATGAGGAAGTCATAGATGATCCTACACTCCACTGTATGGATGCTGATCTTGAAGAACACTACCAAGAGCTTCTGAGAGAGTGGTTGAAAGATGATGACCGTATCACAGACAAAGTGCATGAAGACAAAATTGTGAAAAAGGCCAGGAAGGGAGGGGACATGGAGAATTCCTTTGACATTTCTGAACAAAATTCATGGGAGAGAGGTGTGTGTTATTCTTTTTTCAAACCTGAGTTTTAAATTAACTTAAATTTGTTGAGTCAATAATGAAGTCATACTGGATTGTTAGATGAAATGAATTTCCAGCAGATTTTTTTTAAAAGTCGCAATTATGCATTATTGAAGTTGTGAATCTTTATTACCTTAAGCTAAGTCAACTGTTACATCCATAATTTGCTTTTGTCTTCATCTTTTTTATCTTTTGATTTTTATTTCAGTAATTGAAGTAACTTTCACATACAAAAACTACAACCTTCTTTTTCAGAGACAGTATTAATGCCAGGGGAAAATACATCAGCAGAGAATGGCAATGGCAGCCCACCAGAGCTCAGTGTGAAACTTCCAAAGTTGTGTGATCTTCCAGCAATCTCTTCTTCTTGGGAAACTGTTGAACTTCCTGTTGATATTGTTTTATTAGCAGTGGAGGACTGTGAGTTCTTAAGTTGTTTTGCCTACCTGAAGGAACCCTTTAAGAGTTACCACATCAGCACTGGCCCTGTGTACTTTGGGTGCATGGGTGATGATCAAGGAAAGAAAATGAAAATTGCATTGATGAGGTGCTCCAAAGGTCCTGATGTTCCTCAGGGTTCTTTGTCAGTTTCAAAAGATGCCATCTCAGTACTGAGACCCAAGGCTATCTTTTCTGTTGGTGCCTGCAGTGGTTTGAATAGCAAAAAGGTCAAGTTAGGAGATGTGGTTGTTTCAGCAAAGCTGATAACAGCTGTATACCAAACTCCCCCCAGCAGAGATATTGGTAAGCTGATCAAACATGTGGCTGATGGGTGGAAGGCACCTTTACAAAATGCTGATGAATATAATGCCAAAGTGCACTGTGATGGAGTGGTTCTGAGTATCTCAGAGGCAAACAGAGATATGATTAGGAAACATCCTGAAGCAATTGCAGTTGAAATGGAAGGTGGAGGTGAGAATCATAATAATTCAAATAATTGATGAGCCAAGCACTTTTGCACATGTAGCAAATGTTTTGAAAAACACTGCTCTGGTATTGTCTCTGCTGGTCCAAGCATACACCATATAACATGCCAAATTTGCAGGAATTGTGTATCTTGTATTTAAAGTGATTTGATGTTTGGCTGGGTGAGAAGATTATTTCACAGGTGAAGGTGACTGAGACTTCTTCTGGATAACTAGATTGAATTTGCTCCATTAGGATGTCATGAATTATTTTCAATTTGTCACATGAAAAATGTAGAAAGTATCTTGTTCAATAGTTTGAGAGTTGAGGAATAGTATCACAGTCCCTGTTAACCCTGAAACTCCCATGAGTGACCAAGATAGAATTTTTCCTTACAGTTTCAATATGATATTAAGCAGACAAGTAATGGGAAAAGAAAAAAGTGTGAATTAGGGGATTATTGATTGATCCAAAACTAAATTCTCCTAACTAACACCATAGGAATTTTATGACCTACATTAACCCTTTAACTCTTAGAAGTGATTAACATGTAACTTCTCCCTATAATATCCATACGTTATCCAGCAAACAGGTAATGAGAATACTGAAACTCATCAGGTAAAAGATAAAATTACCTTGATAAAACATCCAATTTTTTTGTAACCAATTTACAAGGAAATGTGTAGCAGCTAGAAGGGAGAATTAACAATCAGATCTTGGGCGTTAAAGTGTTAAAGAGGATCATTAAAGAGATCTTAGGAGTGAAAGGGTTAACTCTAACTGACAAAACTTTGTCTTTTGAAAAATATTGAAAGTTACTTGATATGAAACAAGATGAAGCCTGAAGAATAGTTTTACAGTCTCAGTGTACAATTTTTTTTGATTACTGGTTGAAAAAAATTAGGTTTCTGTTCCAACTAATGTCTTTCTGCAATGTGCATGTTTACAACAGCAAGAGTGCAGCTAGAGTGTGACTCTTTGTGAGCTTTGATTGAACAATTACATGTATTTTAAAGATGCGAAGAAAATAAGCTTAATATATAGTTAACAGACATTACTGTTTATTTGTTTTGTTTTTTAGGAGTGTATGCAGCAGCCCATCATTTTAAGACAGAATGGATGGTAGTCAAGGGCATCAAAGACTTTGTAGATGAAACGCACTCTTCAAGTAAGAAATGGAATGAAATTGCCTGTGTGATGGCAGCTTCTGTTGTGGCCAACATTTTGAATGATCCAGTCATATTCCAAGATTGGCCTCATTTTAATGCAGGTATTGCTTCCTGTCTCAATGTTCTCTTTTTACAAGGATAGGTCTGACTTAGATCTAAGTTCCCTCAGCATATTTTTGTATGAATTATAAATCAACATGATTTAATCAGTAATAGTTGACAAAGAGGAAATTAAGTTACCCTTATTTTGAGTTTACATACCAGTAAGTGTCTAAAGGTGATGGGAGAAAAAACTTGTGGTTAAATTGAGTGATGTAATGATGAATGACAATTCACTCCATGAGCCACGTGAACTGGCCTGTTTTCTATAGTTAGCTTGGATATGGAAAATTCAGAGGCTAATGACATCTGCCAAAGTGATTTGAAGTGATTTGATATATGTTCCTGGGCCAATAAGAAACAAATCAAATTGTTTTAAACTAAAAAAATTGATTAATCCAGTACTACATGTGTGACTGTATTTTGATGGTGAAACTATTGGAATGGAAAGGGAGGTGATAAATACCAGCACATATGTTTATGGTTCTGTTTTTTGTTGTTGTTGTTGTTGTTTTTTTTAACCCTTTATGGAACCTGACATGTTAGTAGATTGAGACAAATAAATCAGATTGTAGGTAAATTTCTTAAGAGCTAATGTCAGCATGCATCAAACAAACAGCGGCAAGTCACCCAAATTTGTTTCCCCTCCTTTTTTGTCCTTTGAATTTCTCTGTCACGCTTGTCACGCACTGATATAATAAGTTAGAGAAGATAAATAAACTGAAACTCAAATCTGGCTGGAACGTGGTAGAGCATGATTAACATGATCATCGAAACAGCTAATAAAATCATAAATAAACAAGGTAAGAGTGTTATGTTAGACTTTGTACCAATTGTCGTGATTTACGCCAATTAACGGTGGCGACAAGTAGGCGCACCATGTAGATTTCATAGTCGCTATCAAGTAAATTTTGCCGGACTTTGAGTTCGTCTCAAGATAGAACAACACAAATACACAAGGAAATTTTTACAGTAACTTTATAACCATCCTTTGGTCTTTTAAAAGCATGCAGCTCAGTAGATTGTGTCATATCAGTCATTGTTAAAACTGTCTTTGTTTTGATGCTACTTTTCGACATAGGAAAAGTATGTCGGACAAAAATATTCACCAAAAAATAAATATTTCTTTGGCAGCTTCAATAACGATAGGGGATTAAGTCTAGATGATAAAGCAAAGGCTTATGTTCACAGAAATACCGGAGGTCTAGTACATTCATTACATGAAGTCACATAAGGTCGAAAAATGAGGTCGTTCACCTCATGTGAAAAATTAAGAATTAAACCCAAATGTCCACACTGTGTTTTCATCGGCAGTATCTTTGTCTGTTCGTGGGTACTCGTGTACAACTGCTGGAGTGCACTTTTGTGATTTCTAAGCGTCTTATTGAGTTTGATCTGTTCAGAATCGAGTAGATATTGACATAGGTATCATTGTTTATCTGCACGTTTATGTGAATTTGTGATGTAAATGTGCTTATGAAATTGCGCTTATCTTTCTTACTAATGCAGATTCGCTACGTGACCTCAGAGACACAACTGATAAGACAGAGATTGAAATGAAGGAGGTTAAAGAGACGCTTTGTAGCCTGACGACCGCAGTGGAGAAAAGCACAGATGAATGTTGGTTGCTAGAAATAGCTACTCACAGATAAACTGAACTATCAATAGGATTCCGTTCCGTTAACTTGAGTACACTTTTCAGTTAATGTATTGTTATAAGAGCACGCCTTGTCTCCTAGGTTAAACCTAAATGAAGATACCAGGTAATGTGTGGGATGAATGGGATGGCACGGAATCTCAGGTTACCTCTCAGATTGGATAGCTTTCTGACATCACTCATACACATTTGGCCGAGAAGGGTTATTACCTTATTTTAGTTTTACTTTTGTTAAGGACATAATGAATCTAACTTCCTAATTCGTTAGATTTTACCTGCATATTCTTGAACAGACTAATGCAATCCCTCCTCCACTCAAATTTTTTGTAGAGTATTCCATTTTACATGGAAAAAATTTCTGAATGAGGGCTGTGTTAGTAAAAAGGGGCAGGAGAAGGCGTATGTGGTTATTTTAATTTTCCCGAGCGAAAAACTGTGAACGAAACTTCACAATGCATTGCAGCCGGACCTCTGGTTTGTTCCAGCGTTTTCCTTTTTCTATGATTAAACGACGTGAAAACGAGGGCGGAAAAGCGTTCTTTGTTTTTTTTTTAAATTAGTTCCTACAATGGTCTTTTTTACCGACAAAAATCTTACTCAGACTATCGACTCTAATGATATCAAAATTTATCTCCCGAGTTTCACTATCAGAAACCGCTATAGCCGAGCCATAAGTTTTTTTTCGAATATTGTATAAAATTTAAAAACAACAACAACAACAGAGGAAGGGAAAAGGATCTATTTAGTTAACTTTTAATGAATAAAGTGACTCTCACTCGGACTAAAAGTTCCAATGTTATTCCACGAAAGGGTCTGTTGAGAAAATGATAAAGATGGACAGCGAACTGAAAGAAGTGAAGGAAAAGCTGTGTACTTTGACAGCCTCAGTGGGAGAAAGCAAGGATGAAGGTCAGTTGAATTACACAATAAAAGTTATCCTGCTTAACCGCAAATTTCGCCGTAGTCAACATGGCCTGTATGTGAGAGAGGTATAGATCATCCTATGTTAAAGAGATTCAGTTTTTCAATTTAGACAATCTCTGGAATAATCTCTACGGTGTGCTTTCATTCCCTCCAATTGTTCAAACTTTCACCCGTAATTAGCCTGGAAAACTTTATATTTTGATTAGAGTGGAGAACGAAATAAAAAGAAGTACAGTTTTAACGAAAACATTGGCATTAACATTGGCTCGATGTTAGAAATTAACAGAGCAGGTTCCACTGCATTTACAAGCCAAATAGCTTTTGGTCAGTAAATTGACATGAATCATACATTGATACCTTTTTTCATCGTCCAAGTAATTTCTTTGGCAGTGGTGTCGTATTCTCGTTCGCTAATTTAAATTCAGTGCCGAATACCTAGTAGCATTAGATGTAATCCGCATATTTCTGAATAAAATAACTAAACCCTTCCTGCGCTCATATTGTGGAGTATTCAATTCTACATGGGAAAATAGTTGAATGAGGATCGTCTTGAGTAAAATAGGTTCCTAAGGAAAAGACTGTAGGAAAAACCTCCCACTTCATCGCAGGCGAGTCCCCGGTTTTTTGCAGCTTTTTTGATGAAACCGCGTGACAAAGAAGGCACAAAGGCGTCGTTTGGTTTCCATTTATTTGTTCGTAGTCTCGGTATATCCCGAAAAAGCCTTTCTCAGACTACGGCTCCAATGATATGAATATTTATCTCCCAAGTATTTTATTTTACGACAGAGTTTCACTGTCAGCCGAACAAACAGAGTAGGTTTACCTCAATTCATAATCTAAATGGCTTTTTAATCAGTAAGCATGAATCATACACTAAAAAGCTTTTTGCATCGTCCAAGTAATTTCTTTGGCAACGGTATCGTACTCATTCACTTATTTAAATCCAGTGCCGAATACCAGAGAGGCACCACAATTTTTAATGCTGCATTCATTAGATTTCTTACTTATTTTGCCACTGCTAGGTATTTTTGATCCAACTGAGCTTATCAATGGAATTCGCCAGCTGTACAAGACTCGCGAGGGATGGCTCTCACCATTTCCATGGTGTGAAGAGTTTCAGTTTTTTCTTGGCAATATTTTTACAAGGCTCAAAGTGGTCAGAAGAAAGAAAACGAGAGGAGTAATCACTGACGTATTTGTTGACATGTCGTCAATACTAGACCCGTATGAAGAGTGTTCAGCGCCGAGAACAGTGTTGATTGAAGGAGAACCTGGTATGGGAAAAACCACCTATTGTAAAAAGTACGCCTACGACTGGGCCACAAAACAGCAAAACCTCAGGGCTGCGGCTCCACAGCATTTAAAGTGGTATTGTTGTTGAAATGTCGAGACATCCATTCTGACGTCTGGGAAGCCATTGATGATCAGCTGCTGTCCCTGGACATCGATGAAAAAGTCAAAAGACAATTTTTTCAGTTTATTCGTGAAAATCAGTCGAGCATTTTATTGATATTGGATGGATTGGATGAGTTACCATCCGGCAAATTGTCGATGTTTTCCAAATTAATTGAAGGAAAAGCACTCCCCAGATGCCACATAGTTGCAACAGCAAGACACGAAGCTGGAAAAGAGGTGAGAAAATGTTGTGACGCGCTGCTTCAGATCGAAGGATTTACTAAAGAGCATGTGATAAAATTTGTCATCAAGTACTTTAGAGAAAGGAGGGTTTTAGCCATCAAGCTCTTGCTACGGATGGGGCAAGATGAAAACCTGAGAGAAATAGCGGCCAATCCTCTAAACACAGCACTTCTTTGCCTTTTATGCGAAGAGTTTGAGGGCACACTCCCCGAAAGCAGAGCTCAACTGTACTTGGATATGGTTGAATGTGTTTTGAGAAGATATAGAAAAAGGAAGGGACTACTAGAAAAGATCGAAGACTTGACAAACCATTACAAACCGCAATTGAATCACCTTGGAAAGGTAGCGTTGAATGGTTTACTTGACGATAAGTTGGATTTTAATGAAAGTGAATTAAGAAACCATGCAAAAGACCTGACTGAATTTGGATTTCTGTCAGTGCAGCCTGGTGGCAGCAAACTGAGACAAACACTGCACTATGCCTTCTTACATAAAAGTTTTCAAGAATTCTTTGCAGCATTCTTCATTTCTTCTCAGATTCAAAGCAAGGAGATGAAACCTGAAGAACTAGTTTCCGATCCAAGGTATTTTGTTGAACTTAAACAAATACTTTTGTTTTCGTGTGGAATTTTGACCATGAAATGCGATGAACAGGTTGTGGCTCTTGTAAAGAGTTTAACAAATGAAGTCAACAAATATGAAGGCCGTGGTGCAAAAATTGTATTGGAGGCCATCAACGAATGCAAAAGAGAAAAAAGTGATTTTCACTCGCATTTATCGAAGTCGTTTGGAACTGGTTTGAATCTGACCAATTTGAATTTGCAAAACAATAGTGTTAGTGATGTGGGTGCTAAATGTATTGCTGAGGCAATCAAAGTGAACAAGACGCTAACCAATTTGGATTTGCGAAGTAATGGTATTAGTGCTGCGGGTGCTACATGTATTGCTGAGGCAATCAAAGTGAACAAGACGCTAACCAATTTGTATTTGTCTTGGAATCGTATTAGTGATGCGGGTGCTACATGTATTGCTGAGGCAATCAAAGTGAACAAGACGCTAACCAATTTGGATTTGCGTTACAATGGTATTAGTGCTGCGGGTGCTACATGTATTGCTGAGGCAATCAAAGTGAACAAGACGCTAACCAATTTGGATTTGTCTGACAATGTTATGTGCTGCGGGTGCTACATGTATTGCTGAGGCAATCAAAGTGAACAAGACGCTAACCAATTTGGATTTGTCTGGGAATGATGTTAGTGCTGCGGGTGCTACATGTATTGCTGAGGCAATCAAAGTGAACAAGACGCTAACCAATTTGGATTTGTCTAGGAATCGTATTAGTGATGCGGGTGCTACATGTATTGCTGAGGCAATCAAAGTGAACAAGACGCTAACCAATTTGGATTTGTCTGGGAATCGTATTAGTGATGCGGGTGCTACATGTATTGCTGAGGCAATCAAAGTGAACAAGACGCTAACCAATTTGGATTTGCGTTACAATGGTATTAGTGCTGCGGGTGCTACATGTATTGCTGAGGCAATCAAAGTGAACAAGACGCTAACCAATTTGGATTTGCGTTACAATATCAAAGTTTTAGGGCACTGCCTTTAAAGTAGGCAGGTTCCTTGAAAATTGAGGGCCGAAGGCCTGAACCTCTAGGGGGTCCGGGGCATGCTCTAAAGTGCCCTAAAACTTTGCTCCCCGGGAAATTTTTTAAAAGATAAGTCTCCCAGAAACGCATTTTCCTGCAATCTGGAAAAGAAATCTTGTTGCAATGATGCATACTTAATCTATCATAATAAAAAAGAATGGTACTCTGGGAGAATTTGTTTATTTCACTGTTGTTTTCGGAGCCTCTTTTCGCTGTCGAAGTTTTATTGCTAAGTGGATGTAAAAATTGATGTTTTAACGTTTTAGCTCTGCATGGGAAGACCAAGAAATGTAGAAAGTCTTAACACACTCGTGTTTCGCTGTTGTTTTCCTTATTTGATCCTTTTGTAACATGAACGGCGCCCCGCGTGGGCGGGTTAACCGACCTTGAGACGTTTACATGGCAATGTTGCCCCCTTGCTGACAGGGTTACCCTACCCTGTAGACTGGGCAACCCGCCTAGACGGGTCGCTCCACCTATCATGTAAACGTGATCAAGATGAAATAATAGATTATATGGACAGGCGGGTTACTTCACCTATCTGGGACTCCCCATCTCCTTGAAAACAGGCCCTCAGTAGTCATCGGTCTGCTTTTTTGAGTCTATTATTCGAATAAGAGTCGCGTAATGACTTGGCATTTATTCGGGGGCGGCGTTTATCAATATTTTTGCTTTTAAAAATACGGCAGTTACTCAGGTGTTTTCATCAGATATAACGTAAACCGACAATAAACCGCTCATAAAAATTGATCGATTCTAAAATAGAACAGGACAGTTACAATGCATTGTGACCTTCTCGATGAGCAGTTTGGTGTACAGTTAAACATGATTTATTTCTGTGATTTGTTGAGGACCGACATCTTTCAATGTGCAATCTCAATCATGAAATAGACCAGTTTGACACGCACGTATACACTATAGTACATGAAGAAGCCTAGAACTTAGGAGAAGTAATTTTCTAAGAATCCGGCGACAATACAAAATTCAACCTTTTTGTTTGCTCCAAAGACCCTTTTGGTGAATTGTTTTCAAAAATAATATTCAAAAGTTCCAGCGAGTTTATTTTGGCAAAAATACGAAAGTTCGAAATCGCGAAACGTACCTAATTTCCATAATTTATATCGGGCTTTCAGTGCATTTCACAACGAGACAACGAAAAAATTATCTTGATTCATATTTTTATCCCACTTGGAATAAATGAACTATTTCCTCTCCAACTAAACTTTCTTTCGTTTGCAACCACCCACGTAAAAATATTATATTTTGTATTCCGTTTGTATTGGAATTTTGCCATATTTCAGACGACCATAAATATACAATGTACATAAATAAAAGCATTTTCAACGAGCAATTCTTCATGTTATTTTCTTTTTGGCCGTGAAAAGCGAGCGCGCCAGACCAAAATATACAGCGTGCATTTTCCGGAGTTCGGCTGTTTCTTTGCAAATCACACGCTATTGGGACAAAACTCAGAAGTGTTTTGTCTCTCTTGTGTTTTGATTCATTTAAATCTATCAATTTTAACTTAAAAATTACCCTACCTTTATTGTTAAGGGAACAAACCACCGTTTTAGGTAAAGTTTTTGAGTTTATTTTTCTCGAGTGCTAAATAAACAAATCGCTGTTTATAAAGATACCAACTCTGTCGACGTGTTTTGGCTGAAATTTGGCCCGTCGCTTATATTGTTTTTTAATTTATAATCTATCCCACTGGCATAACTTTAGAGCAAATTACAGGTAACTATAAATGTTGTTGTAAATGCGTGACTGTGAGCTAAATAAAATCTTCGTACACATAAAATGTTCGAAACATGTAGCTGTCGCAAGAAAATACTTGATTGTGCCTGAACCTCGTGTATACATTCGGTGTTTTGCTCGGTTGCTTTTATAGATTTCTACTAATGTCACTGTAATGAAAATAGCATGTTTGTGTAGCCCAGCTGTTTAGATACATTTTCAAATTAACTCTAGGTTGGAATTCTATTTGAAAAGATTGTCGAAGAAATCTGAGAAATAATGCAACATACTCCATCTCAGACACTGATTCATGGATTACCGTAGTAGACCACTTTCTAACCCTGCCGAGAAATTATTCTCATGCAACATATAGAGAAATGCACTTATGTATATGTAGTCTATGTTTTTTGAAGTAGATTATATCTGCAGATCTCAGATTCCCCAGCTAAAGGTATCCTGAATCAATTTCCACAACGCAAATACAGTTGGTTGGTGAGGTAACCCGCCTAGGTGGGGTAAAGTCACCTGTCCATATAATTTCTTACTTTATTTTTGATCACGTTTACAAGATAGGTGGGGTGACCCGCTTAGGTATGAGGTTCTTTTACGGACAAAATTTCGAACATGGATACATTAATGTAAAATTAAATAAATCAATTTCATCCGGAATACATCGATTTTGGACGTCATACATCGATGCATCGATGTTGTGCAGCATACATCGCTTTCCTGACTCATTCATGCGTGACCTTATATAACTAAAAGATGTTCAATAAAACTAATAGATGAGGAAGCAGAAATAGAAATGACCGGAAGTCAGATTAAACAAGAAGTCCCGAAACTAACACTTTCAAAATGGCTGAAATAGAGGCAGATGATCAGTGAAGTTTGAGAAGCACTATACAAGGTGCGCGGATTTGGCTGCCCAACATCGAAGGATTTTTACGTCCTTGGGTAGGCTACTGGAAGGTGCAAAAAAAAATTAAACTTCTTGAAAACAAAGCGAATAGTCCCAAGGGTAATCTATTGTTTGCGCTATTGTTTTCTTCTAACAAAGGACTGTATGCATAATGAAGTATGGGGCTGTGCGGAAACTTTGCCAAGAGATCACCTCAACTTCATTTGGGAAGGCTTCATCTATTCTTAGAGTCAAAGTGACAAGAGTTCTTTCGTTTTCTCGTAAACGGCGACTAAAAAATTCAGCCGAGTCCTAGGACGCATGGTTCCTTTGCCCTTCTGCACTTTCCAGTAGCCTGCCCAAAGAAAAAAAAAATCCTTCGATGTTGGGCAGCCAAATCCGTGCACCTTGCATAGTGCTTCTCAAACTTCACTGATCATTTGCCTCTATTTCCGC